ACTGCACGCGGAGCGCCAGCGGTCCAGTTTGCCCCGCCCTCTTTTTGTTTTCAATTTTCGCACTACAGCGCTGGGAATAACTATGTTTGAATCTGCCCTCCCCAGATTGTTGTCTTTTACCTTTTTTACATAATAGATGTAGATCCACTCGTCCGGCATGCCCGGCATGCGCTTCGTCTTCAGGGTGTCATGCAGCACCTGCACCATGGTGCCGTCGTCGGGGAGGTCGACCTGAACCCAGTTCGCAGCCAGCGGCTTGTGCGGGACATGCGCCAGTGCAGAGCGTCCTGGGGGCACCCGCTGCGCGGCATTGCAACCCCGCTGGGCCGGCAGCGCCAGCGCGGGAGGGGGTCCTCGGCGGGGGCAACCGTCGCAGGGTGTGCGCTCGCGGCGCGGTCGGAGAGCAGCGCGCGGGCGACTCGGCGCCCCCTCCTCAGCTCGGCCATAGGTCCTGGCTGCGGCAGCGGCTCCCTCTTCTGCTTCTGCTCGCGCGGGCCTGGCATCGGCAGCGTGGCCCGCTCCCGCGGGGGGGTCCGCGAACGGCCCCGCAGCCCCAGCGTGGCGGCGCCCGCCTTGGCGCTCGGCGGCAGGTGGCCCGACTCCCAGTCACGCGTGGCCTCCCGCGTGTAGAAGGGTGCAAGCTCGGACCGCAGAACGGCCTGCCCAGTTTCCTTCATCTTGGCGCGGTGGCGCCGGACCGCAGCCTCATGGGCCAGCGCTCGGGCCTCCCGCCGATGCCCGGGGCGCCTCCAGGGGTCGGGCGCCCTGGGGTTGGTCGGGGGGCAGGTCCCGGCGCTGGTAGACGAGCTTCTGCGCTGGTCAAGCATCTCCCCCTCCAGGGCCGCCGATGCCGCTCCTCTGCCTCGGCGGCGTCGGCGCCGCCTGCTGCCGGCGGCCGGCCCCTTGAGCTTGATTGCTCCACCTAGGTTGGGACTCCTGCCGCAGTGCTTGAAGTGCGTCGCGCCACCCAGTGCCCACCGCTGCGTTGCCTCATTTCCTTGTGATGCCAGGTCGCGGCCGTAACGCTTGTTGCAGCAGTAGGCCGCCTGGAACCCAGCGCCCTCTGGGTCGCGATGCGCTAGGTACCAGCACCCCGCTTCCCAGCATTTCGCTTGCAACGCGGCGGGCTGGGGCGGCGGCGGCGCCGCGGCCGCGGCGGCAGTTCCGCTGGCGGCTGACCCCGCGGCTGCGGCGGGGGGTTGTGGGCTCGTTTCGCGGGCTGGCCCGAGCTCAGCCTGGCCTGGCCCTTGGAGCGGGCCGGGGACCTCAGCCCCCTCGGACGGGGGGGGGCGCCAGTTTCCTTACCCCTCCTCGTCTGAATCCAGGGCCCCGCCGTGGCGCGCCCTCGGAGCTGGCGTGGCGGGGGGCGGGGGCCACATCCGCTCCAGGCGCTCTTGCCGCATCTATCTCCTCGCGCCTCTCGTCGTTTTCGGGGCAGCGACAGACCCCCACGCGGGGGGCGGCAAACTGCAGCAGCTCGAGCTGGGGCGCGGCGGTGATCGCGGCCTGCGCCGCGCCAGGGGGGGGCGCCTTCAGCGCCCGGGCCAGCTGGGCGGCTCGGTCCTCCCCTCCTTCTGCCCCGGCCCAGCCCTCGTCCGAGCCTCCGCGCAGCCGCCGCGCCTCCTGGGCGGGGCTGGGCCCTTCGGGTCCACGGCCAGGATCTCGCGCAAGCTGCTGCCTTCAAGCAGCAGCGTGGGGGTCGGGCCGTTGGCCCCGTAGACCATCTTCTTGGCACCACCACCCGCGTCGCGCCAGCGCCCAGCCAGGCGCGGCAGACCCTCTGCTCGCCTCGCGGCCGTCCGAGGCTCCCGCTTGAACGTGTCCTGGTCGCCCGTCCTCCCGGTGTGCGGGCTCCAGGTAGGCGGCCATGGTGGGGGGCGAAGATCCGCATCTGACCCGAGTGCGCGAGCCACTCCTCGGTTGGGGGCGCATCCCCGCGCGTGGCCAGGATCCACACCTTTCGCTGAGCGATGGCCCCCCCCCCAGCTCGGCGAGCATGGCCCCGTCCGCGCTGGCCTTCCTGCCGCGCCCGCGCAGCAGCGGCGCGTGGACGCGGCCCCCGGCGGGACGTCGAATAGAAGGCGCTGGGGGTCCAGGCCTCGGCGTGGGCAAGCACCTCAGCCAGCTGCGCGCCCGCGCAGTCCTCCCGCAGTGAGGCCGTCAGCTTGCCTTTTCTCTGCCCAGTTCTCTCCCCTGCGATTCGGTGAACCAGGGCGGGTTCGATTTGGCTCGAACACACTTTCCAAATTCAATGGATTAACATGTCCGGAGGTGTCCTGTGCGCTTCCGAGGGCTATTGCTAAGGCCTCACGGCTTAAGCCGCCGACCGTGGACGACGACCCCCACGTTCAAAGAGGCATGCGGGAAGGCCAGGATCAGACGCCCTCAAGAGTGCCCACCCCCGACGGTGAGAAGATCAGAGGGAAGGGGCTTCCCTTCGACACTAGGCCCGCGTGGAGGATGCGTATCCGCTGCACCCCCCCCTCTTACCAGCCCCGCGATCTGGGACCCCCTCCAGGGTTCCCCCCCCCTCCTGGCGTGAAGGCGCTTTTGACCGATAGTTCGGCGATTGGACGCCTGGGGGTCTCTTGGGGCACACTTGGCCTGTCTTGGTATTTTCTGAGGCCCCAGGACCCCCAGGGGGGGATGCGTATCCCCCCGACGGGGGAGTGATCAAAGGGAAGGGGCTTCCCTTCGACTCGACTACGACATTGCTAGATGTTGTCTCGCTGGCAAGCTGGATGAGAAGGGTGTACAGTGTGGGCAAAGGGGACGACGGAGACGACCACTGACGAACGGAGACGACGACTCGAACAGACAATCGGCGAATTTTGACCACTCGCAGTGGCAGCGGTCTGAGATACTTTGCGCCGTCCCGTTGGCTCCCCCCTTAGTCCTGACATCCCTCGCTTGGTCGGGTACGTACACACCAGGGACCGGTGGTTCCATTGGCGCGTTTTGGTCGGGCCTCCGAAAGCAGGGCCGCGGCAGATTGATTGGTGGTCCTTCGCAGTAGCTGGACAACAGCCTCAAATCGCGTCAACTTGTTGTTTTTCCCCTGTTCTCCTTCGCCCCTCCTCTGCATCTGTCCCCTCCTCGTCTAGTCGACCACGGCCAGCCCGGAAGGAGTTGGATGAGGAGGGGGTAGGAGGAGGCGGGAGAAAGGCAGGAGGCGGGAGGAGGCGGAGGAGTGGCAGGAGGAGGAGGAGGAGGAGGATTGATGAGCGAGGGGTGAAACGGAAGTTTCAGGGGACTCTCAGGGGTTGCAGGGTGTGATGACGTGGAAGGAATTGGAAGTGGAGGAAAAGTGAGGAGGAGGAGGAGGAGGAGGTGGAGTGAGGAGGGCGTTTGCCCAGGGAGGAAGTGCAACGGGGAAAACGAGGAGGGGGGATGTGTGCGGAGGACACGTTCGATCGGTGTTATTTTTTTTCCAGGAAAGGGCTTAAGCCCAGGGTTCTCTTTTAGATGGTTTACCCCCTGGTTTGGTTTGAGGTGGGCCGGCGAATTTTTTTTCCGATAAATATCGAGGTCGAGGTGGGCCGGCGAATTAACATTTGAGGAAGGCTCGAGCGAAACGTTTGTTGTTCATGATCTGTTCAGGATGTCTCGAGCGAAATGCTTGTTTTGTGTTATAGATTGTCCTCTCCTGGGGACCTGAATTCAGAGGATCTCTCAAGTGAAATGCTTGTTTTCACGTGCCCAGGTCTTGAGGATGTCTCGAGCGAGACGCTTGGTTTCACGCCTCCAGGGTGCCCAGACAGATGTCTAGCATGAGGATTTGTTGAGGATGTCCCGAACCAGAGGCTTGTTTTCACGTGTCCAGGTCGCCCAGGCGGATGTCTAGCATGAGGATGTGTCGAGGAAGTCTCGATCGAGACGCTTGTCTGCACGAGTCCAGGTTGCCCAGGCGGATGTCTAGCATGAGGATGTGCTGAGAACGTCTGGAGCGAAACGCGTGTTTTCACGTGTCCAGATCGCCCAGGCACAGCACAGCCTTCGGCACGCAGCCTGGCATGTTGCCTGGCACGTTCCGCGGAGCGTCCCGTGGCGAGTCCCCCTGGCACGTCGCGAGGTGCATGTCCATAGGCAGGTTCCGTAGCGTGTCCCCTTGGCACGTCCCGCGGTACGTGCCCATGGCACATCCCCTGGCACGTCGCCTGGCGCGTCCCTTGGGACGTTCCGCGGCGCGTCCTCCTGGCATGTCCCCTCTGACGATTAGTTCTGAGGCAGCTACCATCTGCTCAGGCAGCTCGAGCTTAAGATCCAGATCAGTTCGGTCAGGACTCGGATGCCAGGGAGGACTCGATCCACAACGCTATATAGAGCACAATCGCGGCATGGCACATCGCAGTTCAGCACGGCCCAGCACGGCACAGCCGTCAGCACGGTACATCAAGATCGATACACTCAACATTGCACCTTGGCACGTTCCTTGGCGCGTACTGTGGCGAGTCCACCTGGCATGTGCATCCCCTGGCAAGTCCCGCGGCACGTCCATTGGCACGTTCCGTAGCACGTCCCGCGGTGCGTCCCCATGGCACGTCCCCTGGCACGTCCCCTGGCGCTTTCCTTGGGACGTTCCGCGGCGCATCCTCCTGGCATGTCTCCTCAGTCGATTAGTTCTGGGGCAGCTACCATCTGCTCAGGCAGCTCGAGCTTGAGATCCAGATCAGTTCGGTCAGGACTCGGATGCCAGGGAGGACTCGATCCACAACGCTATATAGAGCACAATCGCGGCATGGCACATCGCAGTTCAGCACGGCCCAGCACGGCACAGCCGTCGGAACAGTACATCAAGATCGATACGTTCAGTATTGCATCTGCCCGCCGCCCAATCAGGTGTCTTTGAAACGTTGCCATGCCCTACATTTCTATATTTCTTTCCGTGTTCGTGGGTCGATCATGTTGGGGATGTTCGAGGGATGAAGCGGGAGCAGAGGGGAGAAGGCCGAGGACGGCGGGTCCGGAAGCGGGGGGGATGCCATGAGGGGGCTGGGCAGGCGCGGAATGCGCACACGATGACGGTCATCCTCACAAAGCTCTTCTTGTTCGGGGGCCACAGCGGGACAGCCCCTTACCGCGGGCTGCCGGTCCTGGCCCGCCTTGGCCGTGGGCGGATCTGATCGGGCGGGGCCAAGACAAGGATCAGCATCGTTTTGGAGCGGTCTCCGAGCGTGCCGGAACGCCCCGAGAAGGCCGCGGCGCCCGATTCGTTTTGCAGTCCGATATTGTCCTTGTTTCGTCTCAAGATCTGAGCGTGAGGCGCTTGCCGATTAAGAGCTGCCACGGGTCTGTGCAGGGCTTCGGGTGGGGCCTCCCTCCTCTCGGCGGCGGCCATGGCGGGGCAGGTCGGGCGTTGCGCAATGGGGAGCGATAAGGGGGGGTGGAGAAGCGTGCACCTTTTGTGCCCCAAAGCCCCACAGGGCCCAAAAGGGGCATGAAAAAGGTCAACGTTGTGTCCCCCCCCATTCATCGCACCCCCTTTTAACTCTTCTATGAGTCTTTAGTTTTGACCCCCCACCCTTTTTTCACTCGGCGGTGAATAGGAATGGTCCTAGAACCTCCTCCTCCATCCCCCTCCTCTTACTCCTCCTCCTTAGGGATGGCACGAGGTGACATCAGTATTGTTACTACTACGATTAGTGTCGCCATGGCTCTTTAGTATTAAAATTCACATTACAATTGCCAGTACTACTACAGCTACGATCATACCAAAGGAGAAGGCGGAAAGGAAAGAGGAGGAGGCGGAGTGCAGTTACGACTACGACTACTATTTCTACTCCTACTAATATCGCTACGACTACTATTACTACTACTACTACTACTACTACTACTACTACTACTACTACTACTGCGACTATTACTACTACTTTTACTATTACTATGACTACTACTACTATTGCTACTACTACTACTACTACCACTACTACTACTACTACTACTACTACTACTACTGCGGCTACTACCACTACCACTATTATCAGTGCTACTACTACTACTACTACTACTACTACTACTACTACTACTACTACTATTTATACTACTACGACTACAACGACTACCACTACGATTACTATTATTACTACTACTACTACTTCGACTACTAGTGTTTATACTGGCGCTACTGTTATTATGTTTACGACTACTGTTTCTAATATTGTCAGAATTAATATTGTGTTTACCATTACGAGTATTTCATCTACTACAAGCACGACAACTACTTCAACTAGTACTACAAACTACGAACCGTATTAGTACGAGTACAGCAACAATTGTTACTCGCATTCGTATTACAACCGCTAATATTACAAGTACTTCTACGATGCTGACTGCCACTGCTATTACTACTACTACTACTACTACTACTACGACCACTACTACTACTACGACTAGTACGACTACTATCACCAGTAATATTACTACTACTACTACTACTTCTACGACTACTACTACTACTACGATTACGTTTACTCCTACGACTAGTATTACTACTCTACTACGACTACTATTAACATGCCCACGACTACTGCTACTACTAATATTTCTAGTTCTACTACCAGTACTACTAGTACTACTGCTACCACTACTTCTACTGCTACTACTACGACCACTACTAATACTACAGGTAGTGGTACTACTATTACCACCACTACCACTACCACTACCACTACCACTACTACTACTACTACTACTACTACTACTACTACTACTACTACTAACACTACGACTACGACTACTACTACTACTACTACTACTACTACTATCGCTACTACTGCTACGACTATTGTTACTACTACTACGACTACGACCACTACTACTACGACGACCACTGCTACTACGACGAATCCTACTACGACTACTACTACGAATACAAGTGCCACTACGACGACGACGACTAGTACTACTAGTACTACTACTACTACTACTACTACTACTACTACTGCTGCTACTGCTACTGCTACTGCTACTACTACTACTACTACTACTACTACTACTACTACTACTACTACTACTACTAGTACTACTAGTACTACTACTACTACTACCACTACTACTACTACTACTACTACTACTACTCCTACTACTACTACTACTACTACTACTACTACTACTACCGCTACTACTACTACTCCTTCTACTACTGCGACTATTACTATCTGAACGATCGTAAGTGTTGTAATAGGCGTTGTCGTCGTCGTCGTCGTCGTTTTGGTCGTCATTGCGGCGGAGGCGATGCTCATATTATTGGTGGGCGGGCTGGATAATCTTGAGGTGTTCTTTTTCACAGGAAAATCATCCATTGTGGGCTTCCCTACATGCGAAAGGATGTGAGAGCATTTTATCATGAGGACTGCACCAGGAATCGGTGGTTGCGCTTGTAGTCGTGATTGTTGTCGTAGTCCTTGTCCTGATGGTTGACATGATTGTTGTCTTCTAGTCGTAGTCGTCTTCGCGGTTGCAGTCGCAATCGGAATCGTAATCTTGAGAGTAGTTCTAAGCGTCGTCGTCGTCGTCCCAGCGGAGACTATTTTCCCTTATTTTTTGGGCGGCTGGATACTGCTGGGGGGATCTTTCTCCCAGGGAGAACAAGTTCCCTGGGCTACCTTGCGCGACAGAGGAATAGTGAGCACGGTTGCAAGAGAAGTGCAATGTAGATCGACACATTCTTCGCCGAAGGCGTTGCTCAATCTGTCTGATAATTGAACTTCTGAGGGCTGGCTTTTTGAGGGCCGTGGCGGCGCCTGAGCTTCAACACTCCTTCTGCGGATGGAGTTTTGGAAGATAGAGTTTCTGAGGATCCGGTTTTTGAGCTGGGATTTTCCCTGAGAGCGCTCCTGAGGCACAAGTACTAGTAGTCGTCGCAGTCGTAGGCGCCGTCGTAGTTGTAGCTGTCGTCGTCGTCGTCGTTGTTGCGCGGCGGGTGCCGAGGGAAAAATATAATCAGCTACTAAGGCCGCCGAAAAAATGTTAGTTACCCCCTATTGGGTGGGTTCTACAGACTTCTCGCAGGTAACGCCAAAGTGGCGCGAGCGGGGGCCTTTCTGTTCTGTGAGAGCCTGGGGCCTTTTGGGAGAGCCCAGCCCCTTCGCGACCGTGCGCCCCGCTCCCCCTCTGCGTTAAGGGCTTGACGACTTCTGCAGTCCTTGGACTGGCGCTGGAGCGGCCACGATTTTCTCCAAACTTCCTGGGAGAGCCATGGGCTCTCTTGGATTCACCAGAACGTGCTTGGATTTACTTCGATTCATGTCTATTTGTCTGTGACAACTTGCGAGCCCCACCCCTGCGGGTCCAGTCCATGCTGTGGTATCGGAGACCTCCGCTGGAGGCCACCTTGCTGTAGACATCCTTCGACTTGTGAATCCCAGCCGGCGTTTCAGAAATCCTGCCTGCGGGGGTAGGGGTAGCACGTGATCGCCGAATTTGTTTGATCGTATTTGGCTTGATCCCCACACGTCGATTAGCGCAAAGTCGTCAAGCCCTTGGGGGCCCCTTCCCAATGCAGCGAGAACGTGCGCGCGCCACGAGACTCGGCGCCAGCCGCCGATCCTTGCGGCGGCGCTGCCCGCCGCTGCACTCGCCCGGGCCGGCCGATCGGGTGGAAGTGCGGCCTCCCTTCCGAGGTGTGTTGCGCACGTCAGCATCGTTGAACCTACCCCCATCCCCACTGGGCCACGTTACTTCAGCTCCACCATCCCACCACCCCAGTTGGGGAAAGGCCCCTCGAAACCCGAAGGGAGCAGCTTATGCCCCCGTCCACAGTCAGTGGACCAATTTGCAAGTGAGAATTTGCCGTGGGCGGCTGGAACGCTCGCGCTCGGGAACCCAGGCCGTCTGCGGCTGGAAACGCCATCGCTCGCGCTTGGTAAAAATGCATGGCTGAAACCCACGGCGTGCGCGGCTGGAAGGCTCGCGCTCGGTAAGAATGCATGGCTGGAGCCCGCTCCGTGGGCGGCTGGAACGCTAAGAGTGCATGGTTGGAACCCGCGCCGTGGGGCTGAGACGCTCGCGCCGGGTAAAAATGCAGGGCTGCAACCTACACCGTGGGCGGCTGGAGCGCTCTCGCTGAGGTGGAACCCACGCCGCAGGCGGCTAGAACACTCGCGCTGGGTAGAAGTTCATGGCCCATATGGCTGGAGCCGACATCTTGGGCGGCTGGAACATTCCCCTCCGTAAAAATGGAAGGTTTGAACCACACCCTCTTGTCAGCATAGGCGGCTGGAATACTGTCCCTTGTAAAACACAGGGCTGGAACCTCACCCGGCTTAGGGCTTTCAAAACATATAAACAAGTCGGGGGGAGGGAGGTGGGGGACGAGCCTTCGGCGCGCCGTGGGTATCAACTCCTCGTCCGTGAGGGCCGCCTGCCCAGGGGCGGCTGGAGAGTCTGCAGCCCGTGGCGGCACGTGTGAGTAATCATGTAAAGTTTTCGGGCCGCCCTCTCCGAGACGACGTTTTTATCCAGAACCCTGGGCGGCCAAGAGGGGGTCGATGACTGGGATGGAGCCCGTGGCAGGGACCATGATCTATCCCTGGATTGCATGCCCCCCTCGTCTCCTTTATTCAACACCTTGCGTGGCACCCCTCCCCCCTGGGCCGCGCACGCCTCGGGCCATGGCTTGCGAGCCCTCCTCCTGGACGCCCCCCTCTTGGACGCCCCCCTCTTGGACGCCCCCGGCAGAAACGCCGCCTGGGGGATCGATCTTCGGGGGCCTCGGCGGGCGGTGGATGTGGGTACGCTTGAACCCTCGGATCTTTAGCCACATCTGCCCGCCGCCGAGGTCGCCGAAGATCGATCCCCCAGGCGGTGGTCGTGGCGAAATCTCCGCCTCGCACCTCATGGGCCCTCGCACGCCTGGGCAGACGCTCCCCACCGCGGAGAGAGGTGCATCCGAGGCCGCTGCGTTGTCCGCTCCTTCCTCGGGCGGCCCTCTCCCTTCCCGCCCCCCTCTCGCGGGCCGTTCGGGGGCCGAGGGGCGCCATCCGAGGTCGCGCCAGGGAGAACAAGAGGGGCGCCGGCCCCCGCGAGGGCTGGCTCTCAGGGGCAACGTCAGGGATGGTACGGTCCAGGCGCTGAAACAAGGCCCACACTGCGTTGGTTATAATGCGTCCCTCATCTGCTGCAGTGCATCCAATGATTCCAAGCGTGCAGCCTCCTCATCTCCGCATGAAGGCGAGACATTTGAGGAGGGGCTATGGATTTCGGGCCGTGTCTCGGATCTAGGTCGGGATGCCTATTCGTGAAAGCATGCTCGTTCTTTCTTCGACATTCCCAATTGCAGTACGATGACTGTACTGGGGGACCCAAAAATGAGTTGAGGCACGACGGCTTGTTGCCCATATCTTAGGATCACCGAGTGTCTCCAGATGTTCTCACGCTCGGATTTCGAGATTTCGAGCACAGGGCTCGACGGAGGTTGCGGGCTGGATTGCCTGGTGATGAGGATCATCGCCGATCCCATGTTTGCAAAAACCCATCCTGGAAAGACCCGTCATCGGGATCGGCAGGGATAGGCTCAGGGGGGGCATCGACCCAAAATCGCACATTGATCGCCGATAAGGGCCCGATAGCCCACCCCGCCCAGGAACGTGCAGTGTCCCTATCGGGGGGCATCTCGCTGGTCCACTGGCGATGTATCGCCGATTCCTGATCGACCCTTCAGAGCTGGCCCCCCCCCCTGTCGTTTCCCCTCAGGTTCGGGCCAGAATAGCCTCGGCGTCCCTTCGCGAAGGATTGAGGTCAGGATGGGACAAAACACAGACACAATTAATCGTCGACTCCCAGGAAAATATGGGAAAATATGGAAAGTGGTGGGGAAGACGAAAGTCCAGAAAATGTTGAAACATATGGGGAATCCTGGGACTTGTGTGTAATTATTTATTTGTGTGTCCTTGGGCCCCTTGATGAGGCTTGAGGTTCCTGAGGCATCTTCGATGCGTCTTGGGCCTCGGGCCAGAGGCCTCGAGGGGAGCCGGCGGAGGCCTCCGGGCACCCCAGGGCTGGACCTGAAACGCTGTTCTGCGGGATTTCGGGTCTCGTTCTATGTTTCGTGTCGGTGGAGCGGCCCAGGGGACACATCGAAAGACACACATCGAAAAACGCATCGAAAGAACAAGTCGCACACACGTCGCATCGGTTTTCGGATTCTGCAGAAAAGATCGAAAGACACATCGAATGACACATCGAGAGACACATCGAAACACATCGGTGTTCGGCATTTGCAGAACCAAGTCCAAAGACACATTGGACAACGACCCGAACACACACCGTTCAGGTCCAGCCTTGGGGCATGCCCTGCTGGAGGGCATGGCGTCCTGTTAGCGCCCTGCGCGTGCCAGCCCCAGGGGCGCGAAGGTAACCGCGCTTCGCTCGTCGCGGTCTGGGTCAGTGCTGTCGCCCTTCTCCCAAGGGGCGGCGCGAGGGCGCGAAGATTATCGCGACGGCGCGCATTCAGCGACGCTCTCGACAGTACCGTGCGGAGGGTGGCATCCAACATGAGCCGTCAGCGTTGTAAGTTTGTATGCAGTGTGTCAGGAAACGTGTAGATTCCTTCATCCGTTTGCGGCGGAAGGCGGCCGAGCGTGTAAAGCTGAGATCCTGGTCATTCGCCCATTGCGTTCAGGGATGGGCACAGTGCGCACCTCTCGGATCTACTTTCGCGCGAGGTCCGTCGTGATGTGGCATCCGCGCCCGAATGCGAACAGTGACAGCACCTAATGTCGAGGAGCACCATGCCGACTGCCCAGACGTTCTCGATTGAAAGACAGCGCGACCAGCGAAGAAGGGTCGTCAGCCTTCTTGCTGCAAAGAAGGAGGATGGACCAGAGAAATATACGCAACGGCGCGCATTCTAGAGGCAAAAGGCGTCTCGAGGGCTTCGTTGAGATGCCGCGCATGCGCACCAGCAAGCCTGGCCTTCCTCAATCAGCGCGACGTCGCCTTCAGCATGCGCCTCGGATGGTGGACGTTCTCATTTGCCAGACCGAGAGGTTGCAGCGCTTTTTTATAGGGTTTTCCCGGAAAAGGGCTGGGGTCCAGGTTTTTCTTTAGGATGGTAATATGTCCCCGGGACAAATTTTGAAGGGGGCCTGCGGATTTCTGTTAGATAAAAAACGAGGTCAAGTCAAATTCGGCGTGGAAGATAAGCGTTTCGCGCGCGCCCGTTCGAGGAAAGTGCGCTCCCCATTTCGGATCCTCCATAAATAACTAGGTCCGCGGGTTTCGTTTCCCCTAGTAAAAAAGAAGGCGCGGGGCATTTTTAGCAGAATCCCCGAGACAAAAACGACGTCTGGAGCCCCGACCGGGACACAAAAAATGTGGAAATGTTGATTTGTTGCGTGGTCTGCGCGTCCTGCGCGCAGAAATTTTGAGGATGTCTCGAGCGAAACGCTTGTTCCTGGAAAGGGCTTACTACGCCCAGGGTTTTCTTTTGATTGGTAAACCTGTCCCCGGTGCCAAGTTCGAAGAGGGCTGGCGAATTTCTTCTGCGATCAATGACTAGGTCGAAGAGGGCCAGCGACATAAAAATTGAGGATGTCCCGAGCGAAACGCTTGTTTTGCAGAATTTGTTGAGGGTGTATTAAGCGAAACGCTTGTTTTGTGTTCTAGATTGTCCTCTCCTGGGGACCAGAACTCAGAGGATCTCTCAAGTGAAATGCTTGTTTTCACGTGCCCAGGTCTTGAGGATGTCTTGAGCGAGACGCTTGGTTTCAAACGTCCAGGTTGCCCAGGCAGATGTCTAGCATGAGGATGTGTCGAGAATGCCTTGAGCGAAACACTTGTTTCCACGTGTCCAGGTCGCACGTTCCTTAGCGTGTCCCCTTGGCACGTCCCGCGGTGCGTCCCCATGGCACGTCCCCTGGTACGTCGCCTGTCGCGTCCCTTGGGACGTTCCGCGGCGCGTCCTCCTGGCATGTCCCCCTGTCAATTAGCTCTGGTTCAACTACTATGTGCCCAGGCAGCTCGAGCTTAAGATCCAGATCAGTCCGGTCAGGATTCGGATGCAAAGGAGGATTCGATCCACAACGCTATAGAGCACAATCGCGGCAAGGCACATCGCAATACAGCACGGCGCAGCACAGCACAGCCTTCGGCGCGGTGCATCAACATCGATACATTCAGCATTGCATGTGTCCGTCGCCCAATCATGTGTCTGTGAAACGTTGCCATGCCTTACATTTCTATATTCCTTTCCGGGTTCGTGGGTCGATCATGTTTTTTATCGGGTGTTCGGCCAGGCATGAGGGTGCCGAGCGATGTCTTCGTGTGCATTAGCATAGGTCACCCGTGGGGGCGCGAGGGTGGGAAGATGATTGCCCGGCAAGTAGGTTCGCTCACGTGGGAAGCGCCGGCTCGATCACAGCGGGTTCGGACTCGATCCCCCCAAGGCCCCTAGGGGCTCAAGACGTTGAAGCTCGTTGTGCTCTGGGCACATGCTGAATTACCTATCCGCTTCGCCTTCGAGAGAGCAAACGCGTCAGGAGTGGTCCAGATGATGCAATCTCGGAGGGTCCAGAGGTCCTCTTGGACACGTCCGTGGCTGCCCGTCGTTTTTTGCCCTCCTGGGGCGAGCTCGAGGGGACGGGGGTGGGCAGGGGGCGGGGCTCCCGCGAATCTGAAGCGCAGGTGTTCTGTTGGGCCAGCCGGATATCAAGCATTCGGATGCATTCAGGCACTCGGGGACCAGGACACAGATACACCAGGACATGGAAAACCAAGGAACCGACGCCCTTTCCGGCTAAGTCACATGTTGCAGCACCCGTGCATTGTTTGTTTGTTGTATTGCAGGGTTCGGGTTCGTGCCCAGGTATAGGGGGGTCTTTCAGGCTTTTAGGGCCCGTGTCTGGATTTATTCTGGAGAAATTGCAGTGCAGTATTTTGTTCGTGCCGCCGTCTGAAAAAATGTTTTCGAGGGATGTTGAGTGTCAAGGGCTAGCGTGTCTGGGTTTATGGGGCCCTGATGCATTCGTGCAACATGTTTGAATGTGTTTGGGTAAAGCTCGGCTTCATGCGAGTGACCTGGCCATGCCACCATTTGGTTTGTTGCAGAGTCGCCTTCGGCTTAACGCGGCGCAGCTCGACCAACAGGCTACACTGTTTCGCCACTGCTTGGTCGTAGCTTCGCTAGCTCAGCGTAAGGATACTGAAAAAGATGGCGACAGAGTGAATAGTGTTCTCACCGTAATTACTTGCAACCCGTCCTTGCCTTTGGGGCCTTTCTTCATTATCGTGTTTCTGCTCTGCCCCTGTGCTCCCAAACACTGAGCCCGTACATGAAGGAATAGTGCTGATACATACCAGCTTGAGGAATTGAAGCAGATGCTGCATTCAAAGGTCTACTAGGTCAGCCCTGATGCAGAGCATTGTTGTTTGCAGCGGGCATTGGAACAGAGGTGTTGCACCATTTGCGCGCTGGGTCAGGAACAAACACTTGACAGATCTGCACGTGTTCGACACGCAGGCTGGTTTGGGTGAGGGGAGGGATGCTTTCTCTCGTCATTCCTTAGACCTCGTCCTTGTCCTTTCTAACCACCCTCAGCTTTGGAGTTGACAATCGTATGAATTCGCCCTTTACCTTGATGCGTGTGTCGTTTTCAGGCTGCTGGCTAGCCTGCCACACACATATTGACCCTCAGAGAGGAATAGCCGTGTCGTGCGGAAATGAGGGCCTGCAGATCTATTTGTACTTGCACGGTGATCTTGGGCCCCTTCCCGCAGTGCTGGCCGCATCTTCAGTTGTGTCTCCGCAACCGTCTTCGCTCATGTTCCCCCCTTTTCCTTGCATGTTTCACGCTCTCTGCATGTGCACTTCCAGGCCCGCCCAGACTTCGACTCGACAGTGGAGTTGACACTCGTATGAATTCGCACTTTGTCTTGATGCGTGTGTCGTTTTCAGGCTGCTGGGGAGCCTGCCACTCACACAAACATATTGACCCTCAGAGAAGAATGGCCGTGTCGTGAGAGAAATGAGGGCCTGCATACATATTGAATAAACAAATAAGCCGGGCTCCCTCCCAGGGCGTCCTCCACCTCGATCACATTTGGGATACGTTCCTGGTACTGGGCTTCCCGGCCTCCGGGAGAGCCCCACAAATGCCCAAAGACAGCCCAACCAAGACGATCCCAAGAAGCCCCCAGACCGTAAAAGAAAGGCCCAAGACGCTCCCAAGCAACCCAGGATAGCTTTCGGGCGGCTCTCCAGGCTACCAGGAGGCCTCGAAGAGACCTCAAGTGAGCTTCGAGAGGCGTCCCGAGAGCGCCCGGAGAACCTAAAATCGTTCATCTTCATTGTTTTTGTCATGCTTTTTGGCCTTCTCACCATTTCATGCTTCCAACGCTCCAACACGGCCGAAGAGGCCGCCAAGATCGCCCCAAGACCGCCCAAAAGGCCCCCAAGACGGTCCCAAGACTGGCCAAGACGGCCCCAAGACTGCCGAAGAGGCGCCCAGGACAGCTCCAGACCACCCCAGAACAGGCCCAAGATGAGCCCAAGAGCGGGAGCAGGAGGCCTCCAGAGACCTTCGAGAGGACTCTGGGACCCCCTAGAGGCCTCCAACACACCCCAGACCCTTGAGAGGCTCCCCAAAAAGCCCCAACGAGGCCCCCACAACAGCCCAAGAGAGCTTCGAGCGCCGTCCCGAGAGAGCCCGAAGAGGGTAAAGTCGTTGATTTCCACGTGTTTTTGTCGACGTGTTTCGCCTTCTCACGTTTTCTCGCTTCCAACGCTCCAAGACCGAGGCATTTGAGGAGAAACAACAGGAAGGAATTCCAGATATCATTTTTGTTTCACGGTCAACAAATACTCACCCTTTCCTCCCGGGGGTCCCAAACCTTCCCGGAACATCTGCGGAACGCTCCTGGTACCGCGCTTCCCGACTTCCCGGGGAGCCCCCCAAACGTCCAAGGACAGCCCAAGACGGTCCCCAGAGCGTAAAAGAACGGCCCAAGACGCTCCCAAGCAACCCAGGATAGTTTTCGGGCGGCTCTCCAGGTCCCCAGGAGCCCCCAAGAGACCTCAAGAGAGCTTCGAGAGGCGTCCCGAGAGCGCCGACAGAACCTACAATCTTTAAGTTCCATTTCGATGTTTCATGGTTTTTGGCTTTCTCACCATTTCATGCTTCCAACGCTCCAACACGGCCGAAGAGGCCCCCAAGACCGCCCAAGAGGCCCCCAAGACGGTCCCAAGACGGGCCAAGACGGCCCCAAGATTGCCGAAGAGGCGCCCAGGACAGCTCCAGACCACCCCAGAACAGGCCCAAGATGAGCCCAAGAGCGGGAGCAGGAGGCCTCCAGAGACCTCCGCTGGAGGGTACTCCGGAACTCCCCCAGAGACCCCAGACCCTTGAGATGCCCCCCAAAAAAGCCCCGGCGAGGTCCCCAAAATAGCCCAAGAGAGCTTTGAGAGCCGTCCCGAGAGAGCCCGAAGAGAGTAAAATCGTTGCGCCGACGCCGGGGCAGCGGCACCTGGGGGGGGGGGGCGGGCAGGGCATCCCGAGGAGGACGAGGAGGAGGAGGAGGAGCAGGAGCAGGAGCAGGAGCAGGAGGAGCAGCACGACGAGCAGGAGGAGGCCAGGCAGGTGCCGCGAACAAAAGGGGACCAGAGAGGTTGGGGGCAAGCAGCGCTGGGGGGGCCCTCCCCTCGCTTTCCTTTGGCTGGGTCCCCGGCGCGCTCGTCCTTCACATGTGACATGTGATGTCACATGTGTACGTTTTGTTGTTGTTGTTTATCTCTCTCTCTCTCTATCCACCTCTCTCTATATGTTCTCGCTCTCCCTCCCTCTCTCTCTATATATATATATATCTCTCTCTCTTTCTCTTTTTCCTTCTCTCCCTCTCTTGGAGGAGGAGGAGGAGGAGGAGGAGGAGGCTCGGGGGCCGATGTTCAAAGGGTCTCGTTTTCGGTCTCGTGCATGTAGTATACGGTTTATGGTCGTTGGAGGTACGCTTTCGCCTGAGCTCGGTTCTCTATGATCAGCGGGTCGACGAGGAGACTTCGCGCAAGGCCAAGTCATGTCCTCATCATTCCCGAGCCCCCCTTATGGGCCCCAGAACCGTCGAACCACTGGCAGGGGTGAACCTCGGAAGGGATCAGGGGACCCACTCGGAGCAGAAGTTGGTAGGGACTCGGGGCCCAGGATGGAGGAGGGGGAGGAGGGAGGAGAGGAGACGGGGGTGAGATCGATGGGATTCCCTTGCCTCCTTGCCATTACCGCAGCACTAGTACTCTCTCTTTCTGTCTCTCGCAGTTGTTGGCGGTTCTTGTCGACGTGTTTCGCCTTTTTACGTTTTCCCGCTTCCAACGCTCCAAGACCAAGGAATTTGAGACACAAAAAAAGGAATCCCAGAGTTTTTTTCCACGGTCAACAAATACTCCCCCCTTCCCCCCGGGGTCCCATACCTTCCCGGAACATCTGCGGAACGCTCCTGGCACCGCGCTTCCCGACCTGTCGGGGAGCCCCCTAAACGCCCAAGGACAGCCCAAGACGACCCCAAGAAGCCCCCAGAGCGTAAAAGAAAGGCCCAGGACAAGGATAGCTTTCGGGCGGCTCTCCAGCTCCCAGGAGGCCTCCAAGAGACTTCAAGAGAGCTCCGAGAGGCGTCCCGAGAGCGCCCGGAGAACCTAACATCGTAATGTTCATACAGTTTTTGGTATAGTTTTTGGTTTTCTTACCATTCCATGCTTCCAACGCTCCAACACGTCCGAAGAGGCCGCCAAGATCGCCCCAAGATCGCTCAAGAGGCCCTCAAGACGGCCCCACGACGGGCCAAGACGGCCCCAAGATTGCCGAAGAAGGACAGCTCCAGACCACCCCAGAACAGGCCCAAGATGAGCCCAAGAGCGGGAGCAGGAGGCCACGAGAGACCTCCGAGAGGACTCTGGGACCCCCCAGAGGCCTCGAACACACCCCAGACCCTTGAGAGGCCCCCCAAAAAGCCCCGACGAGGCCACCAAAACAGCTTAAGAGAGCTTCGAGCGCCGTCCCGAGAGAGCCCGAAGAGGGTAAAGTCGTTGATTTCCAGCGGCTTTTGTCGACCTGTTTCGCCTCCTCACGTTTTCCCGTTTCCAATGCTCCAAGACCGAGGAATTTGAACAAAAGGAATTCCAGATATTTTTTGGTTTTCCAAGTTGGGACTCCTATTCCCCATCCTCTTTTCCTCGAGCCCCATCAAGACGTCGGGGTCACATGCAAAAATGTTTCGGCAATGCTGTTGAACTCTCTGACGCTGTCTTGGCACTCTCTTGGATCGTCTTCGTGTCCTCTTGGCTGCCCCTGAAACCATTTGTAGAAATCGAGATCCCATGATCCCATGAGTTGAAACAGTGGAATTTTAGAATTCCTTTTTATCAAGTTCGCCCCCTGCTTATTTTTGCACGAAGATCCCCAGAGGCATCCCAACAGACCGTGGCCTGCCTCCAGAAAACGTCTAACCACAGCCCAGGCACTACAACTTGGAAAGAAAGGGGGATCGCACAATTCAGTTTTTTCCAAGTTCACCCCCTTTTGTCTACTCTTGCACAACAGACCACAATTCAGGCCCCAGAAAAAATGAACCCAGGAAGCCTTCGAGGGCCCCTAAATCATTGAATATCTAACGGCAATGAATGATTTGTCCGTTTCCGCAGATCCCCTTCTGTACGATTCCGAGGCTTGCGCAGGGCCTCCAAAAGAGTCACTGAATGCAAGAGACGGCAAAGATGATTTTCAATGTGTTAGTTCATCAAGCCTAGCTAGGACTCGAGCGCGCGCGAAGCACGCGGGATGGTTCTAGTACACACATATATATAGAGAGAGACATAGAACTTTAGAATGTCGGAGGAGGAGTTGTTGGGGAGGGAGCGAGGGAGCGAGGGAGGGAGGAAGAGGAGGAGGTGGAGGAGGAAGAGGATGAGGAGCAGGAGGAGGAGGAGGAGGAGGAGGAGGAGGACCCCCCCCTCTCGGCCGCGGCAGAAGCTACAGTGGTCCCAGCCCGAGATCCTGGGGACCCCGCCGCCCGGGCTGCGAGGCGCGCCCCACTCGCCGCTGCGAGTTAGCTGCGCGGACTCCGCAACGCGTCGTCGTCATCGTCGTCGCTGCCCTGGCCTTCCCTCATCGCTTTCGTCGTCTCGCCGGTGGGACGTTTCCGCGCGCCTCGTCCCTGCGTCGTCATCCTCCTCCCCCTTCTCACACGTGCCGTCCCCTAGTCCTGAGATCCCTGGCCTCCTGGAGGTGTCCTGCTCGCTCCCCGCCCCCCCCCGTTCTCCTCTCCCCATCTGGCCGCCTGGTCCCCTGCCAGCCTCCCAAGTTCCCAGCCTTGTCGTCGCAAGTGGTGCCGCTGGTGGCGCTCGTGCGCTTGGCGCCGCTGCTCGCCGTCGTGCTCGTGGCAGTGGTGGTGCTGGCGGCGTTGATGCTGCTTCTTGTGTTGTTGCTGCTCCTCGTCGTGCTCGTCATACTGGAGCTGCTCGGGTCGCTCGTTCTGCTGTGCGTGGTTGTGTTGCTTGCTGCCGCGCGGCCAGTAGAGCTACTACTGGCGTCGCTTTTGCCACTGCTGCTCTCAGTCCTGCTGGTGTCGGCGCCGATGCTGCTGTAGTGCTCGTCGCGTTAGTTCTTCTCGGTGCGCTAAAGCTGGTGCGCGTCGTACTATTGGTTCCCAGTGTGCGGGTCAAGGTGGTGTTGTTGGTTGCTGGGGCTTCTGCGCGTCGTGCTGCTGCTTCTCGCGGTGCTCGTCACAGTGGTGCTGAAGGTGGCTCCGTTGCTGGTGGCGCTGGTGTTGCTTGCGATGCTGCTGGCGGCGTTGATGCTGAGCGTGGTGTTGCTGCTTCCGGCAGGCCTTGGTGGAGTGACACTGCAGGTGGGACTGTTGCTGCTGCCCTTGTCTTGCTACTCACAGAAGTGCTGCTGGTAGCGCTTGTGCTGCTGCTGCTGCTGCTGGTGGCGATGCTGTTTCCTGTCGGGCTGGTCACAGTGGAACTGCTCGTTTCGCTCGCGTTGCTGGCCGACGCGTCGCGGGCCGTCGTGCGCACCTGCGCCAGGGCGCGTGGACTGCGGGGCGAGGGGCGAGCAGCCGGCTCCTGTGGGACAGGCTGTGGGCTGTGCCCGGCGGCGCCCTCCGTGCCCAGCGCAGAATCGAACGATTTGGACCGTGACGCTTTGCGCTGGGGCGATCGCGCTTCCCCCCTCGCCGGCCTCGTCGGCGGGGGGATGGGGACGCTCGCGGAGTCCGGGGCGAATCGCATAATTAGTGCTGCTGGTTCCCGTCGTGCTCGTTCTGGTGGAACTGCTGGTGGCGTTGGTGCTGCTTGCGCGTGAGATGCGGATGGCTGGACATGGCGCCGGTGCTCGGCGTTGGAGCTGCTGCTCCTTGCGCGTGTGTTGGTGCGTGAAGTGCTGCTGCTTCTCGTCGTGCTGGTCACACTGGTACTGCTGGTTGCGTTGAAGTTGCTTCGCTTGGCGTTGTTGCTCCCAGTCGTGTTCGTCAATCTGGCGCCACAGGTGACGCTGGTGCTGCTGCGTGTGGTGTTGTTGTTTGCTGTTGCTGTGGTCGCAATTTTGCTCCTGGTGGCGCTTGTGTTGTGTCGCGTGGTGCTGCTGCTCTATTCCCCGTCATGGTCGTCATACTGGTGCTGCTAGTGTCGTTGGTGCTGGTGCGCGTGGTGGTGGTGCTGTTTGCTGTCGTGTTGGTCAGAGAGGTACTGCTGGATTCGCTTGTGTAGTTTGCTCCACTATTTCTGCTGGTGTTGGCTTTGGTGTTGCTGTTGCTGCGTATGGTGCTGCTGTTTCTGGCGCTGCTCGACGCAGTGGCGCTGCTGGTTGCGCTAGAGCCAGTGCGCGTGTTCAGTGGGACACCTCGCCCACGATTGCGACGGATGCTCTCGCCTCACCAGTGGCCACATCCACTTTGTGTTGGCCTTAACCCAGGCCGCATCCGTGGTTTGCAGCGCAGGCCACATCCATGATTGCGAATGTTACTTTCGCATCTTCGCCAGCCACTTCAATGATTGCGACCGTTGCTCTCATCCGTCATCGCGAGCGTCACTCGCCTCAGCGCCAGCCACATCCACGACTACGACGGCTGCTGTCGCCCCAGGGCCAGCCATATCCATGATTGCGCACGTTGCTCTCGCCTTAACGATGGCCACATCCATAATTGCGAGTGTTGCTGTCGCCTGGGTGTTGGCAACATCCACGATTGCGAATGTTGCTCTCGCTTTCGCGCCGGCCACATCTACGATTGCGAAAGTTGTTCTCGCCTTGGCGCCGGCCACATCCATGATTGTAAATGTTGTTGTCGCTTCAGCGCCAGCCACACCCACGATTACGAAAATTACTCTCGCCTTAGCGCCAGCCCCAGCCACATTCACGATTTCGAAAGTTTAGCGCGGGCCACATCCATGATTGAGACTGTTGCTCTCGCCACAGCGCCAGCCACATCCATGAGTGCGAAAGCTGCTCTCGCTTCAGCGCCAGCCAGATGCTTCATTGGAAACGAAGAGGGACTTGTGATACAGTTGGCACTTTTGCATTGCATGTTTCTGTGTCGCCCCACTATGGTGCATCATTTGCTACAGCACGCGCGTGACACACTGGTGTCGCCGAGCCGTTGGCCACGCTAATTTTACTGGGTCAGGTTAGCTTTGGCGCAGTGTCGACAGGGCCTGGGTCAGGTTAGGGTAGGGATTGGCTACGTTGGGGGGGGGGGGGTAGAGCACAACCGCGGCATGGCACATCACAATTCAGCACGGCGCAGCACAGCGCAGCCCTCGGCACGGTACATCAAGATCGATACACTCAGCATTGCGTTTGCCCGTCGCCCAATCAGGTGTCTTTGAAACGTTGCCATGCCTTGTATTCCCTACCTAGGCTCTGCCTAGAAGGGTTCTTACCGTGTAAGCTTAAAGGGGCCGGGCAGTGGGTCCCTCCCCGGGCGGTTCCCCCGGCATCCGCCCCGCGGTTCCCCCAGTTACGTCCCCTTAGCTTGGCGTGGCTTATCACATCTTAGCTTAGCCTAACTTAACTTAGCTTAGCTTAGCTTAGCCTAGCCTAGCCTAGCTTAGCTTAGCTTAGCGTAGCGTAGCTTAGCCTAGCTTAGCTTAGCTTAGCTTAGCTCAGCTTAGCTTAGCTTAGCTTAGCGCAGCATTAACACATCATAGCATAGCATAGCGCAGCACAGCATAGCGCAGCATAGCATAGCATAGCATAGCACACCATAGCATAACATAGCATAGCACAGCACAGCGCAGCATAGCATAGCATAGCATAGCATCAAGCAACATCAAAAACAAAAGCAATGCAAAATCAACAGCAAACGCAAAAGCAACAGCAAAGGCGAGGCAATGCAAAGCAAAAGCAAAACCAATGCGACAGTGTAGATGTAGATGTAGATGTAGGTGTAGGTGTAGATGTGGATGTAGGTGTAGATGTAGATGTATATGTATATGTGGATGTAGGTGTATATGTAGATGTAGATGTGAGTCTCGCTGTTGTTGTTGATGTAGATGTAGATGCGGGTGTAGATGTTAATGTAGCTGTCGGTGTAGATGTAGATGTTGCTCTCCTAGATGCTCCAACTCCTGGGTAGGGTCGCACTGGGATCATTTCTGACTTCCTTTCCGGGTTATGTTGAGCACAGCGTGCACAGCAGAGGGGAGCTTACGATTTGCCTGTGTCCCCACTCCGTGAACGAGCCGAGGAAAAAGGTAGAAGCAGGAGGACGATGAGGAGAAGGGCGCCCCCGGCTCGGCCAGCTTGCGCGTCGGCTCGGCTCGGCCCGTCGAGGCGGAGGGGGAGGAGGAGGAGGAGGAGGAGGAGGAGGGAGAGAAAGAGGGGGATCGCGCCCCTGCCCGAATCGTTCTCCGCGCCAGCTACAACCTAGATTGGGAATTGTTCTCCTGCCCGAGCGCAGGCCACATTCCTGTCAGGAATTGTTGCTGTCGTTTGCGCGCTGGCCACCTCCTTCATTGGGAACGGCACTCTTGCCTCAGCGCCTGTCCCATCCCTAGATGGCTATGGTGCTGCCGCTCGAGCGCCAGCCACATCCCTGATTGGGACTGGTGCTCTCGCCCGAGCGCTGGCCACATCCCTCTCTAAGAGTGATGCTGTTGCCTGCGCGCTGGCCGCATCTTTCATTGGGAACGGTACTCCCGCCTGAGCGCCGGCCACCTCCCTTATGTCGGATGTGGCGTTGCCGCTCAAGCGCCAGCCGCGATTTTGATTGCGAACGGTACTCTCGCGTGAACGTTGGCCACATCCTTGTCTGGGATCGGTGCTGTCGCTTGCGCGCTGGCAGCATCCCTCATTGCGAACGGTACTCTCGACTCAACGCTAGGTGCGCTGGCCACATCCATCACTGGGAACGGTACTCTTGCCTCAGCGCCGACTCCATCCCTAATTGGCTATGGTGTTGACGCTCGAGCGCCAGCCACATCCCTGATTAGGACTGGTGCTCTCGCGCGAGCGCTGGTCACATTTATGTGTAGGACTGGTGCTATCGCCTGCGCGCTGGCCGCATCCTTCATTGGGAACGGGACTCCTGCATCAGCGCTGGGCACTTCCTTTATCGGATATGGCGCTGCCGCTCGAGCGCCAGTTAAGATCTTGATTGGGAGCGGTGCTCTCGCCTGAACGGTGGGCGCGCGCCGGGCGAGTGCCGGCGGGATGGCGTCAGGTTAATTACCTGGCGTCAGGTTACGTTCAACAGCGCCTTGTTAGGGGGGGGGCTTGTAGCATCTGAGGCCAGCAGTAGAAGCTCCCATGCGCTCACGGCTGGGAGCACCTTCGGTGCTCACACCTAGATCTACACCTAGATCTACATGCGATGCCCTGCGAGTTCGGGACATGTTTCTGGTCCTCACGCTCCCTCCTACGTGTCATAGGGGCCAACTTGGGAGAGGTATCGTCCTGGTCCACCGGTTTGGGGCTGCTGCTTCTCAGTTCGTCTGCGTCTTTCCTGGATGGCAGGGGGCCCCATTTCGTTTCCAAAGTGAAGTCGTACACCTGTGCGATTCACGATGGCGCTTTAAAGCGGTC